CCTCTCCCCTCTAACCCCGTTTGCCCCCCGATCCCCGGTGGTGTCAAAACCAGGGCGTTTTTCGGCGTGCCCTTTTGGAGTTGTTACAATGCCGTCGCTCTGAGTTCACCACAGCACAGCAGGCGAACGACGACGACGACGACGACAACACAACAAAACATTTCGACATAGAACACAAAAAAGAAGAAAGGACAAAACAGCAGTGGAGGACAGTAAGGCATAACGAGCAAGACTTGGGGGTTGAGGTTAGAACACAGAGGCAGACGTGACACACGGTGGTTGGACACGTGTCTTTCCGGCTAGCGCGACCGCTCAACCGCAACACGTCGTACACATACCACATCGATCATTATACGTCGAAGAGCCACGGCTGTTGTCCGGCCATCTCAGTCAGCGGCACTAAGCTCACCACGGATGACTTGACCCCCGGTGGGGGCGTACTTCGACAGCCGACGCTACAAAACACAACCTGATGACGTGGCCGGAAGATACACGATGCTCCTTGAACAAGACGCCTCCCCTGCAGCTGCCTTGCCGCACGCGTTCGTCCGCACGCCGCCCCTCCATCACCGATCTACCCCCCGTCTCTATCCTTTTCGCTCTCGCTTTGCCTCTCTTGCGCGCTCCCCGTCCCCGCACTCACCTGCAACAACGTGGGTCGCTTGAACCCGTCTCCCGCCGCCGCCGCCGCCGCCCCCCCGCCCCCAGCGTCCCGGCTCGTCATCCCTGCCCCCATCGTAGCCCTTCTAGCGTTGGACAGAGAGTCCGGCGGGAGGCCAGGCGGTAGCCCTAATGGGCTGACGCCGCCCACGCTGTCCCCCCCGATGCTGGGGCTGCTGCCCTCTAGAGTAGACCCGGCTCCGAGGGTGGAGGACGAGGTTCCGCCACCCCTGCTTCCCCCGGCCGCCGCCTTCTTGGCCCTCGCCGACATATTCCTCACGTGCGCCAGCCTCTGGCACTCTCCTTAATTTTTTTTTTTCATTTGTCGTTGTTTTCAGTGTTTTGGTACGATCGAGGTTGTTCTGTCAGTACTTGGTACATGGGGTGTGTAGCGATTGTCGTCATCGTGCATTCCATGTGCCATTCAACCCGGTATGCAAGGATCCTTCACCCCCCCCCCCCCCCC